CGAAACAAAAAAAGCCCCCGCCCCCCCCCCCGCGAGCGCTGCGCGCTGGACCCCGCCCCCCCCCGCGCTAGACGCCGCCACCCCCGGACCCCCCCCCGAGTGCTGACGCCCGCGACCCGCCCCCCCCCGCCGAGCGCCGCGCCGCCGGAGCCCGCCCCCTGCCAAGCGCCGACGGAACCCCCCCCGAGCGCCGAGCCCCACGCTGCCCCCCCCCCGCCGAGCGCCGCACACGTGCTGCCGGAGCCCGACGACCCCGGCCCCTGCCGAGCGCCACCGGAACGCACCCCCCCCACGCCGCCAGAGCCCGCCCCCCGCCGACTACCATGCCGCCGGAGCGCCCCCTCTCCCCGCGGAATGCCGCGCCGCGCTCCCCCCGCCGCCCCTTACCAGGTGCCACCCCAAGCATGTGCTTGGGTGCCTGGTGCCTGGAGCCGGCCCTGGTCCTTGGCCAGTGCAGCCCCAGAGTTCAGTGGTTCATCTGCAGAGTTCACCTCCCGCCTGGGTGAAGGGATAAGGAGGCACCTTACACACTCCACTGCTCAGGCACTCGCTTGCTGCCCCGCCGGCCGACTGCCACACCTCTCTGCAGGGCTCTGCTCTGGCCCTCTCTGCCAGCTGCCCTGCTAGCCACCCACCACACCTCTCCACCAGCCCCCCCACCAAGATGTCTTCAGGGCCCACCACTGAACACAGCTCTCAGTGAATCAGCCTCAGTGCTGGTGCACACCGGGCAGTCTCTTGCAATAGAGACACTGTCCCCAAGCAGGTCTAATACCGAGCCCGAGGTATCAGTGATTTCAGCTCTGCAGCATGTAAGAAGACTCTCAATTAAATCTAAATTAGCTCTTTTATTACACCCTGGAGAGAAGAATGTCTAGAACATAAACCCACGCCACCAGCTACAAGTACCCGTCCCCACCCTCTTTCGACTCATTGGGTGTTGGGACCCAGGGCCCCTACCTAGCGAGTGCCGTGTCGTGGAGGGTGAGTCCCTCCATCGGGGTATGCCAGGCACAGTTCACACAACAACCCTTTATTTCTCCTACCCCAATAACAAGGAGCCTGGGAATCCAGCACCAGCCACAAGTGACCATTTGGGAAAGCAAACGAGCTCAGCTCCTGAAATCCTCTTCCCCAGCTCATCACTAGATGTCAGGGGAGAACGCATTCAGACTCTGCTTACATAGGCATGAAAGAGAGAGCTTGCAGCGGCTGGTAGACAAGCTGCCCCCGGCAGCCCTGGGTGTTAGTCACAGTGGGAAGAGGGGCCCTGGGAGGTTTGGTTAGTTTGCTAACTCCTCCGCTAGTCAGCGCGTCTGGTGAAGATGCTCTAAGCCGACAGGAGAGAGCTCACCATCAGCATAAGAAAAGTAACCACCTCCGCAGGGCGGCAGCTGTGTTGGTGGGAGACGCTCTCCCATAGATCTAGCGCTGCGCACACCAGCACGTAGGTCAGTGTAACGTACATCACTCGAGATGGCTTAGTCACACCCGACACCCGTAAGAATGTCATTGATACCCATGTATGTATAGTGAGGACACACCCCTCGAGTGATCCCAGGAACTGCCCCAGCAGCAACGCGGCTCGCTGGGGATCCGGCTCATTCAGGATGGGTGTTTCTGTGGCTTTCGCTCCTTTAGCACTGGGCAGGGTAACAGGGCTCCAAGCCTGAGTGCTGAATGTCCCGCTGCTCTGTCGCTGGGGAGCAGACATTGGAGGGGCTGCAGCAGTGGGCACTGGGGCCATGGCTGTGGGGACCCACGCGGGGGGCTGGCACACGGTCAGTGAGGAACAATTCCTGGGAGATTTGAGGGCGCTGAGACTCCAAGCAGGGCCCAGGCTGCTCTGATCTCAGGCTCAGACAGAGATGTGCTCAAGCCTCGGAGTCTGGCTCTGAGCTTCCCAGGGGCTCCTGGAGGCTTTGGGGCAGCCCCATCTCCCGCTCCCCGGTTCCACGCTAGCTGCTGTCGGGCGGGGGGCGAGCCCCATCTCCCGCTCCCCGGTTCCACGCTAGCTGCTGTCGGGTGGGGGGGTGAGCCCCATCTCCCGCTCCCCGGTTCCACGCTAGCTGCTGTTGTGGGGAGAGCCCCGTGTTCCACTCCTGGAGACTTTGGGCAGCCGGTCTCCCATTCCCCATCTACATTAGCTGCTGGCAGGGGACGAGCCCCGTGTCCCCCCCTCACCTTCAGGAACACTCAGCCTTACTCAGTCCCGGGACCCGAGTGACACCCTCGAGGCTGGTGCAGGGAAATGGTGCCTTGGAGAGGGTCTCCTCAGGCTCTCCAGGGAGCAACAGTCTGTGGGCCAATGAACACCAGGGATTGGTGCAATTGGAAGCCACTGACAAGGAGTCTATGAGGCTGAGGGGGAGCAGCGTGGGGCTCGGGGGGGTCCCAGGGCTGGCTCCACTCCCACGTTGACGACACGGTAGGAGGACGCTCTGTCCATTTCCAGCACTCTCCACTGTGCGCTCTTGACCCCACCTCTGCAGCAGTCATTGCGGGTGCCGTCGGCTGGATGCTTGGCTAGCTGGAGGCCCGTTCGCCTTGTTTGTGACAGTGCCCATCCGCTGGCTGGAGCAACAGGCAAGCAGCGTAATGGAGCACAGACTGGATGGGTCTATTATCACGGGAGGTTTTGAAGAGCAGATCGCCCCCGCAACCCCCAGCATGGCTCCTGGTCGTGGGCTGAGAGCTCACGACTGAGCTCGTTTGCGATGTACACTCAGCCAGGCAGTGGGGAGGCTGTAATTCAGCCTGACCCTAGCCCCGTGCTTGGCCCGTTTGGGCAGCCTCTGCACAGCCCGGCTCCGCGCCAGCCGCCCGTCCGGTGTGTGCACAGAGCGGCGGGTGATCAGGGCACCTGGTACCTCTCCGAGCGCCTGTGCTTTGGTCAATATGTAGCTCTCTCTATGAGCAGAAAGTGGGGTCGTCGTGGCAATC